TACTTTATAAACCACCATTACTGTGGAGCCGGTGGGGGGTTAGAAAATTTTACTACTAACAGAGATACAAAAGTGGGCAGTAGGTATAAAAAGGTTGTCTACCCCTGATTTAAACAATACATCCAAAAGACAAGAAGTAGATGCAAGCATTTCATATTAACTCATCAGTACCTACATTACAATAACATGGTTAAAACCAGCCTCAAATATAAGATCTAGCAAGAGCATTAATTAAGCCTATAATGTATGCAGGAAATCAACCAATGGCAAGCCTTACACCTACAGAAGGCATAGATTGACATAAAGCTGTTTCAGCACACATAAGGGTTGCTTCAAACAGTTAATGGCACCCCCCTCAGCACCTAATTAATTAATGCTTAATTAATTAATTAATTAAACAATTAGTTTGTCTATTTTACAATATTTTCAATGCGATTCTCTTTGAATTCTTTTTAAATTCTAACCTCCATTTTTGTTAGTTAATCATTGGTAAAATATATCCCATGTTAAAAAGTATTCTGTTTCTACCTTTTCTTTTAACTTAAGTATCAATCTATCCATCTCAGCACTTGCTAAAAAAAATTATTCCACTTTCACCTGTTGGGACCTCTTAATTTTTCCATTGTGCAAACGCTATTCTTGCTGCTGTGACTACATGCAACATTAAATATGCATTCCCTTTATTATACTGTTCTGGTAGTATCCCCAGCAGAAATATTTCATGCATGCTTTCCATGTATGTGTGCGGACTTCTGCACATGTGCTTTGATCACATGTGTGGTTTGTATGCATGTGCATGACTTCAAAAATGTGGTTAAATAGGACGGTAAAGAGCCAGGGTGGGTTATGGTTAGTGTTAGTGTTAGGTCGCCGCTACTGGTTCACCCGAACCAGTCTGAACCGGCTGAATACCACCTCTGCCTGAACACCTCTGCTCCTATTCATAGTCTCCGATAATACTAAGCTCTTTTCATTGTGGATTATTTAGGACTCCTGCAGAAAGTTTGCCCAAGAGACAGATAATAATAAAAGTTGCAGTTATACTAGCATATGAAAAAGCTGCTTCAGATTTAGTCATCTCATATATATTGAAAAGCAAGCAGATCAAACATGCGACTAATATTTCCATTTTGTTTTTAAAGACTCACATTGCATTCTTTATGAATGATCCATAATATGTCCACTTAAAATATATACATATTGTAAAGAATAGTTAAGTATCCTTTAAAAATATAAGTCCTATATACTTTCAAATGTAATGAAAAATAAAAAATGTATACACGCTGTTGTTTATGCCTCTTATTTCAATGAATTGATGCCATTTGAATTTCATTGCTATTGGAAGGTATTGTGGCCAACTTTTGGTAAATAAAAAATATAAGAATCACTGCATAAAACATCCCAATTTTTTTTTAAAAAAGTTCTTTTTTATATGTGGTAAGTAATCTTGTACTAATGTGTTTTTGAATTTCCACTAAGTGGCATATGCAAAATGTGTGAGAGCTGCATTCAAACATTGTTTAATGCTTATGAAAACAAATACATTGCTTTGTTCTTCAGCACTTAGAAAGGAAATTTACAATTGAGTAGGCACAAAATAGTGTAATCAAATTAGTTGTTAGCTCAAAATATGGCACTTCTTCATGGGTAATCTTTCCATACAAGTAAAATTATACAATTACACAATGAAACTTTTTATTGTGGCCTTTAGGGCAGAGAATAAAACAAAACTATAATAAAAATCTATACATTTGTAATTATTAATAAAGCTAAAAAATAGACTTAAAATGCAATAACACTACATAAAAATAAATTAATATAGTAATAATTTAGTATGTAGTATATAATTTATAATAGTAATAACTTGGGGTAAGAGGCAAAATGGCAACGTATTAACATGACCCTGCATGAACTCTTGCTGCTTCATTTTACTGCTGTTTAAAACTTACTGTAGTGAGGTGATGGCATCTCTTATACTCTATATGTGTAACTTCCTGGGAGAGAAAAAGAGAAAGGAATTAGACCAAGAAAAGAGAGAAGAGGTAAGGAGAGAAGGGGAGAGGAGGAGAGGGGAAAGGATAGGAGGGAAGGAGAAACAAAGGGGAGGGGGATTTTCTGACTCAGAAGAATAGAAAAAAGGAACAGAATCCCAAAGGCACCATTGGTTCACAGAATTCGTCCAAGATAGCCATACAATTAAAAAAAATATCAATGTTTCTATTTCTGTTTTGAAAAATAAAACAGCAATAAAAATGGCAGCAGAACATGACGAGTGCTTTGAAGATTAATAATAAACCCTTATTGAGGCTTGAGGACGAGGCCCAATTATGAGACGTCTTTTTGTTATGGGAACAGTTCCTCTCTTTCTCTAGCATCTGCAGTGGCGACCTTGATGGTCGCCAAGCTCTCACAATCTCCACATATATTCACAGCATTTTATCTCCCCCTTCCTTCCCCACAGTTCATTGGCAAGTTGAAAAGCATTAAAGTTTGAAAGAAGCGAAGTGGTTCAATCTTGACAGGATGGCTCAGGAGGTCACAAGTTTATAATCAGGGATTGTGATTGTGAAGTGGGAAAGTAAGTGTGTGTCTGAAGGAAGGGGTACCCTAACATCATTCCTGGGAATCTGGATTTTGTATTGATTTTGGGTAAGGTGAATTTGGTGGTGATAATTGTATTTATTGTTTTCATTCTTTAGTTTTCTATAATCCTGCCTGCTTGCTGCCATCTTTCTTTCCCAGTCGCTGATACCATATCATTTAATTATTTATAGACATATTGCTTTGATGTTGCATTTTGAGATGTTTGACATTTTGGATAACTTTATGATGAAGTATGCATTTTATTCCCTGTTGGGAAAGCTGAAGAGAGCACAGATTACCCCATCTGAAAAAAAAATCTTTTGACTTTCACAGAGGACCTCAGAGTGTATCCTTGTGGTTATTTGTAAATTGATCCTGTAGATTGAGAAGGTCTGAGAACAGTGGTGGTGTTGAAGTGACTTAATTCATGCTATATCAGGCTCTGAAACCTTCAGAGTATGTTATCTTCTCTATTACTCATCTACTGATGAGAACAGGTTCAAAATCTGATGGGGACAGAGTAAAAACACTGTCTCCAGATTCTTCTCTTCATTTATTCAGACAGAAAATGGGTTGAGACCAGACCTGTCTTCATTTCCAAAAGCATGTGCAGATCTCCAATTGTATGTGCTAGGACAGCAGTCCCCAAACTTGTGGCTTGGCGGCCTGGCTGGAGAGGGGGGAGAAGGGAACTGGGTTGTGAAAGCGGTGGGCTGGTGGGTGCATGCATGCAAATCAGGTTTCTATACCCATAAATATATTGCAATACCATAATGATAAAATGTTTGATAATATCAGCATACAAACCTTGTACAATTATGAGAAATGTAACACATGTTATTATTACTGTACTGTAAATCTCTAAAATGCTGCGGAATAAAGAATATTCATGCTTCTTAGATAGTGGAAGAAGCCTAGAACAACCTCTTCAATTCCTTTTGGGACTAAATGTGGTTAAGTACTAATAAAAAATGCCCCAAAGAAATAATCCACAGACGAGATATCTTCCATGCAGTGATGGGATTTGGCTGGTTCGGGAGAACCAATTGTTAAATTGCTGGCTGGCCATGCCACTTCCTTCCCCGCCCCTTCCAGGAGTCCCCACGTGCCCTGTTTTGGCTCCCAGGGAAGTGGAGAGAAGCCTATTAAGCCCAAAACAGGGCACGGGCAGGTGGTGCCCCCCCCACGGCCCATTTTTGCTCCCAAGAGACTGCAGGGAGGCCTTCTAGGCCCAAAATGGGGCACGGGGGGGTGATGTGCCCCCCATGGCCTGTTTCTGCTCCTTGGGGGGTGCAGGAGGCCGACTGCTGCCTGTCACACCCCCTGGCCATGGCCATGCCCCACACAGCCAGTCATTAGGGGCAGAGAACTGGTTGTTAAATTATTTGAATCCCATCACTGCTTTCATGGCAGAATTGAATGATAATGTGATATTTCTTTTCCAGAGCCCAGAGGAGTTAGAAGATGTATCTGACCTTGAAGAAGACCATGATGTTCACAGTCGCACCAGTATTCAGACAGAAGGAAAAACTGATAGGGTAAGTATGGAAAAAAAAAAAACTAAACAGAATTCCAATATATTACTATCTTCTTCCACCAGCTTCAGCATAACATATTGTTACAGCAAAATAGATGCATAATGAACAGGAAAAGACTGAAAGTCTAAATACTAAACATTTAATTAAATTTGCCCGCTCAAAATATAGAACTGTTCTATTCCATGAGTTTTACTTTGACTAGCCTGCCTAAAAAAATGAATATTACTATTAAGGAGCTTCATATCCTGCAACAAATTTAAATGAGTTTGAAATGATTTTAATATTAGAAGTGCATATCAGTGGGAAGGAAGAAGTTTGTTTGATGTGGATTTTAAGGAGACTGATAAACTTGCATTCTCTGAATTAACTTTTCTGCAATGCAGAAAATATGTACATCAGGAAAAGTTGCATTAATAATCAACAAATTATTATATTAAAGTTGCAACTCACATAATAGATAGATAGATAGATAGACAGACAGACAGACAGACAGACAGACAGACAGACAGACCGACCAGAGGTGTCAAAGGCAAGGCCCATGGGTCAGATCCGTGCTCTGCCCCCAAGCTCCTTTTTTGCTGGCAGAGGAGTACAGGAGGCCATGACAACTGAAAGAGCACTCAGGCCACCACAAGCACTAGTGACATCAAGCTGGCCACCCCCACCCTCCCAAGGTCAAACACATCAAGTTTGACACCTCTGATATACGCAGACAATCAGATGCGCTTACATGCTTGGGCGCACATACACACACAATGTCATGCATAATCTCAGATTACTGAGAACAGGAAGGGTATCTTGCAGATAGCCTGAATAAGCTAGGTTTTCTATTCTTAAATGGTCTGTCTAGACCCTCTGTGGCCTGGCTATCGAACAAGTCCAACAATTGGCAGCATTATATCTATTGATGGAGGTACAGATTTCTCCTCAAGTTCAGCACTTTAGAAGCCTAGTGTTGGTCTGTTTCATATCATAAGTCTTTCCAGCGTTCAGCAAATTATTTGGCTGCTGTTGTTGTTTCTTTTTTGGCAACTCAGAGCCTACCTACTGTTTCTGCTCTTCAGCTTTCCAACCGACTAATTTCTCCACAGAGTGTTATAACTAATTTCTCCCCAATTCCTCCATTCATACTCCACAATACTTACACGAAATTTATTATATGTATTTATGTACTGTGTTTCACTGAAAATAAGACAGGGCCTTATTTTCTTGTTTGCATTTGGTCATTGCTTCTGTGATTTTTCACCGTGTTAGTATCACCAAATCAATCTGATTTGGTTTGAGGAATTCACCACAGTGCATAGTGCTGGCAATTCCAGGAGAGAAAAAATCTGATATGTTCTTTATTCATTTGACTTTGATATCTAGAATAGATGGCATAGAATTGATGGGGAAAACAGGAAAGAAGTCTGTTTCAGTAAAAATTCATGCCTCCTGCAGTATTATAATAAAACACAAACTACATTGAAAGAAAGGAATAAGGGCAGAATAAGACTGCATAATTTCCCTGAAGGGGAATTTCTGATCTCTTAGTGCTACAGGATAGCTGAAAATCTCTCTGTGAAATAAGAGACCCTCCTTCAGGAAAACAGTACAGTTCTTGGCCATTTGATCTCAGAGCTCAAGACAGGCAAAAAGTGAGATGATTCTTTAAAGTCTTCCTAAAGCCTTTTGATGTTTTAAAGCTTCCTGTCTTTGTTCCTGTAATATCCATGGGCAAAACTAGACATACGTAAATCCTTTCTCCAGATGCAAAGCGGAAAGGGAGAAAATGAATCTCGATCCTGATTTTTGAGGGACGGAACATGTTCAAATAAAGAATATATATTTGTTTTCGTAGATTTTCATTAGGTATACTGGTCTTGTATTTCCCATGTAAGATTGAGATTCAATCTTGAGATTCTCAATCTTACATGGGAAAAGACCCAAATACAACAAGACCTGTGTGTGTGTGTGTGTGTGTGTATGTGTGTGTGTGTGTGTGTGTGTGTGTAAAAGAGCAAAAGAAAGAACTGCTTTTTGTTCTGCAAACATGAATCTTTGTAAAGTGAATCATTTTACTTCAGACTTCCCTAACTTAGCAGGTAGAATTTCTTTGTTGGCCATAGATAAATGGGAGTCTTTTAAATAGTTTCTAAAGAAACTTCTTCCTAAAAGTTGTCCTAATTGACTTGTGACTGCGCTTGGAATTAGGCTATTCAGGCTGCAAATCAGGGGTGAAATTCAACAGATTCGGACAGGTTCTATAGAACTGGTGGTGGTGATTATGCGCAGTTTGGAGAACTGGTAAATCACGCCACTGTCTAGCCCTTCCCCTCCCCACCCCTCCAACTCACTCCTTTTTGCACCTCGCCTGCCTAGGCGCCTGCCTGGAGGTGTAGCTGCTGCTGCTCCCTGATTCCTTTGCATGCCTCGACCATGCGGCCCAGCTGATCTCTGCCTGGTGAGTCTTTCGCTTCTCGCCTTGGTACCTCCCCCACGGTTTTTCTCCTCCACAGCAGCGGGGTCCAGACTGTCCATGGGAATCATTCCTGAATCCTGCCCTCGTGCAGTGAATTCTGGCAGGCTGGATGCAGGTATGAAGGGCCTAGTTCCACAGTGCTTCCTCATTGGCCATGCCCACTCAGTCACATGACCCCACCGCCAAGCCATGCCCACAGAACCGGTAGGGAAAAAAATTGAATTTCACTCCTGCTGCAGATAGAATGAAATCATCTTCATCATTTAACTATCCCATAATCCCTTGTGGGGTGGAGTCTGGGCAATTGAATGGAGCTAGCAGAGTATTTAATGGCCGGATGCCCTTCCTGTCACCAATGTGGAGTTTTGTTCAGCAGATATATTCTCACTGCGCCCAGAGAGAAAAATATCTGCCTCTACCTAGGATCAAACTCACAGCCTCCTGTTTGTGAGGTGAGAGCTCCACCTCTAGGCCACGTCACCACTCTTGAAGATAGAATGACATACCAGAACTAAAATAAAAACATTTTAATCTGACCTGAAAGTCCTTTGATAAACAATGTAATTCAACCAGGGGTGGGATTCAGCCAGTTCGCACCGGTGAACTGGATGTTAATTTTGCATCCAGTTCACTGAACCGGTTGTTGCAAGGACCAATTGTCTGAAAATGGGCCTGTTTCCAGCCACTGGAGCTCGGGGGAGGCCGTTTTCACCTTCCCAGAGTCTCAAGGAAAGTCTCCTCAGGCTGTGTACGGCGAAAAGCCACCACCACAACTGTGGTGCAGGAAGCCACGCCCACCATGGCCACGCCCACCCAGCAACCAGGTTGCTAACATTTTTCAGTCCTTCCCCTGAATTCAACCATGTGGGATGTATCATCCTAATTGGCTTTATTTAGCTTCTATAATTCCTCAGTATATTTTTGATAATGCATATAAGAAAAAAATAATGGTGAAATATAGTGTGATGCAGTTTAGGTCATCCAGGATTAGTACAGAAAATTATCAGAAAACTCAGCATCAAAAAGAAAAACACAATGTTAGCACTCCTTCAACAATTATCCCTAGACATTTGGTTGATTGGTTTAATGTGTTTGCATTAGATCATGACAGAAATATTTAAAAAACCTGTATAATAATGTTGTGTCCAATATAATGCAACTACAACTCCTTAAGAAACCTACAGGGACTTTATGTTATTTATATAAACCTTTATGATCATAAATTATATCTTGTGTCCAATAGAATGCAACTGCCACAACTCTTTAAGAAATCTACAGAGATATCATGTTATTTATATAAACTCTTGGGATCACAGAATGTATCTTAGTTAATATACAACAGCTAACTGGCTTGGTGTCCTCTCAAGTACTTAATAATACTTTCTAATTTTAACCCCACATAGAATAAAACTGAAGATGGATCATAATTATTTATGAGAATTTTTCACTGCTCCAAATCATGTTCATATATTAATGGGAGAGTAAAATGCTTTCAGGCTAAAACTGTAGCTGTATTTATGGAATAAAGGCACTTAATCATGCTTATTTGTATCTTGGGGCATTTTGAATCCAAATCCAACCTCTTATACTTTGTTTTTATATATTAACACTAGCTGAGACCTTTTATAAGAAAAATGATCAGATAGCAAAAATCAGAAGACACTGCTAAGCTCTTTGGCTTTCAAACAGAAACTATATTGGCACAATCTGAAATGTTTATTGTAAAAACATTCAATCCTAACTCATTATATTAATATGAGCCCCGGTGGTGCAGTGGTTAGAGTGCAGTACTGCAGCCTACTTCTGATGACTGCCAGCTGCTTGCAATTTGGCATTTCAAATCTCACCAGGCTCAAGATTAACTCAGCTTTCCATCCTTCCCAGCAGGGACGTGCAGTCACTAGAGGCAAGGGAGGCGGAGCCTCACCAGTCTCCTCAGGAAAAAGAAAGAAATTTAAATA